CATAGAAGCACCCTTTAGCTCCAGTTACTTCTCCAATTCCCAGCTTTACGAGGCTCAGTCTTAATTTGAAGCCCCATTTAAAGAAATAAGAGTCCAGAAACTAAAAGCAGTTGGAAAGCAGCACTGCTCTTAGCTGGTGTCTCTTGAGGAATATACTAGCGTCTCTCGAAGAATATACTAGCATGTAGGCTGTAACTCAGCACTGTCTCTTAAGGTCTCAGTAATCTCCGGTCTCCCCAGTCCAGGCTGAATCCCTTTATTACAGGCTCCCATTTTCTCCAGAGTGACCCTGGGCATTTCACTCTCAGCTCTTTCCCACCTTTTTGTCATTTAAACTTTTCCCCACAGACCAGGTCCTTTGCCCATGATTCTCTTTTCTCTGAAAGAGAATGGTGTTGTTGTTGTTGTTGTTTTTCTTAGCAGGCTAAGAACTCAAGAACTAGGCGGACAAAGACCAAATCCTCCCTGGAAGATGAGGGCAGAAAGAGGTTTGGCCTGGTGAAAACCTTTACTGGGTAGCAGGGGAGAGGGAGGGTGGGAACACTCACATGTGAACAGTCTGTATCCTAGCACACCTACAGAGCCGTCTGCCTAGTCTCTGCTTGGGTATTTCACAAAGCACCTTGACTCCGTCCACAACTTGACCTTATTATCCTCCATTCAAACTTGCTTTTCCCTCTAGTGTTCCATATCTTTTTGCAGAGTGTCCTATTTGCTTACTCTAGAGATCTGATCATCCTCTCTTTACCCCTTACAGCCCATTCAGATTCTCCTTGGCCTAAATACTAAATACATGATTTTCAGATCTCTCCATTTCCTTCAGCCTCCACTGCCACCACTGTACTTGTCTCCATACAGTTTCTATATTCCAAATGTGAAATCTGAATGTCCATGTTCCTCTTTGACTCTATTGGAAGGCTTCTGAGCGCCATGTCCTTCATGAACCTCTAAGATCCTTGGTAGTTTGGTTAGTGCCTGCCCATCTTTCCAAAATTATCTCCTCTTTTCTCCTGCCTCTGGGCCCTTGTCTCAGCTGGTCTGACTGTCTGAAGGACCTCCCATCTCTCACTACTGCCTTGCGTTCCTTCCCCCAACCCAAATCTTGGTTCCTCATTCACCAGATCTCAGCCTCAATATGACTCCATCATCCAGGGCCCCTCTGTCCCCTCCCGGGGGGGCCAGTCCTTTGCTACAGCTCAGGTTCCACACTTTCCCCTTGATGACACCCATCACACTTGGCCAGCAGGTCATCTCTCCTACAGGTCTGCAAAGTGCTCAGCACAGATCCAGTATTCAGCAAACACTCTGATTTCACGGTGTGGACTCTCTCTGTCACTTCCTTCTCATCTCCACATGTATTCTGCCTCATACTTTCTATGTATCTCTGAAAAAACTCCATGTCATTTCAAATTTTTTTTTTTGAGACAGAGTCTCAATCTGTCACCCTGGGTAGAGTGCCGTGGGGTCGTAGCTCATAGCAACCTCAATCTCTTGGGCTCAGGCAGTCCTCTTGCTTCAGCTTCTTGTATTTCAGTAGTTGGAACTATAGGTGTCCTCAACACCTGGATAGTTTTTCTGTTTTTACCAGAGACTACGTCTCGCTCTTGTTGAGGCTGGTCTCGAACTCCTGAGCTCAGGCAATCCACCTGCCTCAGCCTCCCAGAGTGCTAGGATTATAGACGTGAGCCACCACACCTGTCCTCATTTCATGGTTTTTAGCTCATGCTATTCTTTACAGAATTGTCTGCAAACACTTTCCTAGCTACCTTCTGACCATTGTCACATCACAAGTTAGAACCCCGCATATAGCTTTGTTATGACCCTTCCACGTTATTTTGAAGCTTTTTATTTGATTGTGTGTTTTTGTGAGTAGGGCTTGTGTATTGCTTCCTTCATAGCAGGGAACCCTATTTTGTTTATTTATATGCATCCTTAGAATCCCAGCACCTCCATTTGGATCTGATGGTTGCTGATAGGGACTGGCTGTGTATGGTAGGCACAATTTTACATGCTTTACTCTGTTACCTCACTGCATCCTCTCAACCCCTAGGAAGGAGGGATTGCAGCCCCAGAAAGGTTAAGTAAGATGTCCAAACTTAACCCACTGGTTCCAGAACCCAGCTTCATTTATGATGATCAGTCAATAATTTGGGCCTTCAGACTCGAGTTTTGAATCTCACTGTCTGATGTAAGTTCTGATTCTTCCACTTAACTCATCATGTGACCTGGAGCAAGGTCCTTCTCTGCAAAATGGAGATAATAACATGTCCTTCAGGAGATGTTCTGAGGATTAAATTAATCAGTCCATGTAAGATATCTACTGCCTACTACACAAGTTGCACCAGTGTTAAGTCAGTGTGAGCGCTCACTGGGCAGAAGGTCCTGTAGGACCTTTCCAACTCTAAATCCACTGACTCTGTCTTCAATTATTTCCCTCTGTTAGTGCCTGTTACATTTCAAGACTATGGTATTTATTTTAATTAATGAATTAGAGATAGAATCTCACACTGTCATTGGAGCTCAAAGCAACCTCAAACTCTTGGGCTCAAGTGATCCTCTTGCCTCAGCCTCCTGAGTAGCTGTGACTATGTGCACCGACCTCAGTGCTCAATGCTGTCTCGCTCTTGCTTAGAATGTTCTTGAACTCCAGAACTCAGGTGATCCACTCACCACAGCCTTCCAGAGTGCTAGGATTATAGGTGTGAGCCACCACGCCCTGCTTGGTGTTTATTTTAAATTATCACCCTTTATTAGGGCCTGAAGATATTTCTGTACTTCCCATCAAATAAGGTCTATGTGTTTTGTGACAAAGATCTGCTGCCTAAAACAGTATCCTGATTTCCCAGGCTCCATTCTATGGGCTAGAGAGCTAACTAAAGATTGCTGGCTAAAAACAGCATCCAAATTCCTGTTTACAGCCAGGCCACAGCAGAAAAAGAAATCCAAATAGTAAATGACTGTTTGATTTTGGAAAGTTTGAGATGTTCTAATAGTAAGAGAATTAAAAGGAATCTGCAATTAACTTGTCAACATTTACAGCAAATGCTTCCTCTTTCCAAGGAAGATGAAGGGCATTTTCGGGTGGTCTGTGCAATTAAATTGATTAGTAGTCAGTTGGAAATTTCAGCAGCTTAGGTGATGATTTCATTGTAAAGACTACTCACGCAGCCTGTGCTAACGCATGCTTTCTATTCTGTGAGACGCATGCAATCATAAGATTATTTTCATCATCTCTCTATGTTGACAGGTGCTAAAGTAGCAAAGTGATGGAAATTACCCGGTGTAATTCTGAGACTTACGGGTTTGACTTGTGCCCAACTTTAATGATTACTTACCAGTAGTCATGCAACCAGATAGTGAATTTTCTAGAAGTAAATATGTTATTACTTAAATAAATGTTGTCTATCTGTCCATTCATTTATTTGTGTTGTTCAGAGGCAAAATAAGGCAAATAAACATAGAACAAAAAATAAATTTATAGGCAAAAGTGCAGACTATTACGTCATCAGGAGAGAGCTGAGTTCACAAAATAATTACCATGAAGTCCAGAACACTGGGTGGAGGTGGGCCTCTTTGTCTGCATAAAGAGGAAAATGAAAGAAAGCTATGATTTATGTTGGTGGTCAACAGACAATAATCAGTTGTAGAAAAGTATAACTATTGCAGTTACTGAGACCGTAGATAACTGCTGTGTGGTGAGCAGTACCTTCAACAGCCCTCGTACAGAAACACAGCACCGGGTCGCTGAGCCCTGATCTATTCAACACAAACCATTTTTTGGCCGTCATTAAGATCAGTTCATTACATACAAATTCTGTATGGGTCTGCCATGCCACTTACTGATGTAAGGCTTAAGGTAAGGCTAGATTTCTAGTATCTCCGGGTATTCAGTGATTACATTTTCTTAGGCATTACTTCCTGATTACTTCCCCTCTTCCTCACTGAAGTTTTGCTGAGTATTGGTCAGTTCCTAGTTTTAGACTAAATAATCAGACATACCTGAAAATTGGAAGTAACCCCATAGAGTGGAACTTTAAGAAATCATTTTGAATTGTTTCAAAGTTCTGTACCATAGAACTTTAGTGTTTAAAATATACCATAAGCCTCAAGATGACTTGTGGAGGATTTTTAAGAGCCAGCTCTATCCCCACCTCTGTAGCTTTCTGTTTAGTAGGTCTGGAGGGGGTGAGGCAAGGGCAATTTTACATAAAGAAAAAAAGTCACATAAGCGATTGTGTTAGATGTTAGCTGAGCTACTTACTGCCTTAGAAACTGTTGCGTTAATTTTAGATAGGAAAAAATGTAAAGATAACATAACACAATGTACTTTTAGCCTAAAAACTATTTTATTTCGAAACACACAGCTAGCTAATTAGACATGGTGACTTAATATATGGGTTTCTCATTAGTAAAGCAATTAAAAGTGATGGTGCTGCTTCTGGAAAGGATGCCTGGGAATAGTTAATATGTGTGCTGTGGTCATTTTTATCCTTACTATCATCTGGTTACATTTCCATATAGACTAAAAATATGTCAGTAATCATATTCTATCCAGAGAGCATTTTCATCTTTTTAGTCCTTAAGAAACCACCAAGTATTCTAGTACGCTTTCTAACACTAGCTTAGGTCCTTAGAGGGACTTCCTTTCTTTTCCAGTTATAATATGAAAAATGATACTCAGAGATTAGGATCTCACATACGGTATCTCTTTACTTGTCTGCAGTAGGCCCCAAATTAGTTATAAACAGAACCTTAAATACGTGATAAATCTTTGTTTAAAGTAGAGAGAACCAAGTCCGTATGTATATATATTTGTGCATATCTTAATCCAGTATCAATCTTTTTTTTTTTTTTTGCAGTTTTTGGCTAGGGTTGGGTTTGAACCCACCACCTCTGGCATATGGGGCCAGCGCCCTACTTTCTAAGCCACACACAGGTGCTGCCCCCAGTATCAACAGAAATCTCGAGTCTCCTGTTTACTTCTCATTATTTTTTTGTAGGCATCGCTTCCATGACAGTGCCGGTCTACATCGCAGAGGTCTCACCACCCAATCTGAGAGGCCGACTGGTCACCGTGAATACCCTCTTCATCACAGGAGGGCAATTCTTTGCAAGTGTTGTTGATGGAGCCTTCAGTTATCTCCAAAAGGACGGATGGAGGTTTGTAAACAGTTCCTACATTAAATAGCTCATAGAAATCATGATTTGCGAAAATGGCATACAAATTGAGAAATCACAGGCAAAATATAATTGGATATTTTGAATCATTACAGCTAACTTACAAGTGGGTGGCATTCAGCAAAATTGAAAGTGGACAAGAAGCTGATATTTATTTTAATGACAGACAAGGAACCTACCATTAAGAATTGGTATTTGCAGGGTTTTTTAGCATTTAGGTGACATTTCTCAACACTGTGTGCAGTCGTCTTGCAATATTTGTTAAAAATGAATGCAGTAATAAATATGCATGGAGTTCTTGAATTCTGTCAGTGATTGGCAGGCTGTTTATGAACTTCAGGTAACATCCTTTTCGGATTTTGAAAGCTACATTCTGATCTGAAAAGAAACCAGGCTTTAAAGATATAGACTTAGCTGTATAAAAAAGATGCATGTAAATTTAAAACATATGTATTATTCCTTGATCCTTATTTGGCTTATTTTGAATCAAAAGAAATGAGAAAAATGGTTTAAAAAATTTCTTTAAAATAAGTTGAAGTGGGATGTTGTAAAAACAAGATCTTACAGTAAAGCTTAAAGATATTATGGGCTCTGGAGTTTGAAATCTTTATGATTTTTGAAACAGCAAATTCATGTACTATTCCAGGGAAACTTTTTATTAACAGCTACCAAAGGTTGCACGGTGCTGTCTAACTTATTTTCTTGCCATCGTTTATTAGAACAAATGTGAATTCAGCATCTAATGTGTAGTACTGGGGATAGAATATTGACAAGATAAACTCATGCCCTTGTTTACATGGCTTGTGCAGTATTGAAGTTAATCCTTAACTGCTAAAGAAAAACAGTCTGATGTGATGCGGACATGGGGAATTAAATCTCCATGTGGGAAGCACATAATGGTTTCACATGAGCCGTTAACGACTTAACCTGGTGAAGTTTTAATTAAAAGTCATGTGAGAAAACTCTTTGAAGCCAGAGAGGGCCTGCATTTGTCAGGACCCCTGAACAGAGGAGACAGTGTTAGAGAGGGAATCGGCCTCTGCCAAAGTGAGAAATTACTGGAAAATGGAAGAAGCAGGAAATTTCATTTTTCTTTTCTGCTCGGTAGATGACCATCAAGAGGAAGATGATAACTTTTATCAGCATAACCTGGCATTTTGAGTTTTTCTTGGAAACTCAGCGGAAGTCCATTATTCTTGCAACTCACATGTCTTTAAAAAGACCTACATCATCTATTTGTATTTTGTTAAAAAATTTTATCAGTGTGACTAATACAGAAGGTGCCCCAGAAGTCTCCCCTAAAGTCTCCAGACATAGGGAAAAATGAAAAATTGTAGCTAAATATACCTTTACTTACAAAATATTCATTGCAACATTTTGCAAAATAGTTACAAAATATTCTCTATATGTTGGCTACCTCTTTGTAAAACTTTGTAATGAATATTTTGCAAGCGAAGGTTTATTTAGCTACAATTGCCCATTCTCCCTATGGATGGCAACTTTAGGGGAGACTTTTGGCACACTCTGTAGACATTTATGTAAATATGTATCATGACAGTCCATAAGCCATGTTTTTCACTTAATTGTATTAACTTAAATATTTCTTCCCAGTACTGATCAGGAAAGAAAGATCATACAGTAGTAAAAATAAATTTATCAATTGTGGTGTAACTGTGTAAAAGTGGGAATGTTGGGACAGGCCTTAAACCCTTTTCAGATGCAGGTGACAGAGCCGTAGACCAGTGGTTCTCAACCTTCCTAATGCGGCATCCTTTTCATACAGTTCCTGTGGGTCACGACCCACAGGTGGAGATCCGCTGCCGTAGACAGACCTGAATTCAAATCTCTAGCACTCGTTAGCTACCCGGGACAAGGCATTTAGCCCCTCTGAGCTTCACTTTTCTTCAAAGTGGTACGAAAAATAGTTACAAGATTCTTGTGGAATCTAAAGTAATTATTATAAGTAAAGTATTTAGCCCAGTGTGTGGCGCTTGGCAGATACTTAATAAATGATGAGTCACATTATTGTTTGCTGTTCTCACGAATGCATAAAGGACGGTGCTGCACTAGGTAAATCGTAAGGGAGACTGAAGGAAAAGCACATTCTGTGGCCTCTGTTTTCTTTATTGACAGGATGGGGCTTGGAGGTGGTCGAGCAGAGGCCCAGAGGGAAAAAATAATGGCTGCTTTTTGGCTGCTGTGGGAAATAGAAGAAAGAAAAGACTAGGGACAAGAAATGATTTCCAAGTAACCATGGGGCCTGAGCTGAAGTGGGGCCGTATATTTGCCGTAACACCAATTAGCATGCTTGTGTGTATTTTTCCTACAATACTGGAGAGCCCGAGTTTGAAAAAATAGAGAGTATAGGAAAGCTAACTTGGGCTGGTATTTAGACCAAAGCATTAACAACCCGATTACTTTGAGTCCGATTTATGGGTGTCACGAAAATGCATTTCATTACGTATACGTGCAAACGCGTATCCTTTCTTTAAAAGGGAAATTTTTTCTCTGTTACTGTCTTCTGTTATTCAGTATCCTTACCAGTCCGTTTAACTTCTCTGATTGCTGGGCTGATCGAAGTGCTTGGTTATCAGCAAATAAAGATTGAAATGCTATTTTAACATCAACTTTAGACTCTGGAGTTGTCAGCAGTTATAACTGGATCATAATTACAACAGTAGATAATCCATTACTTTTATAACAAAATGTTTCAAACATCCTAAGGAAAAGGTGGGTTTAATTACTTCATATGAAATTTCTTTCTCATACCCCTGTGTTTATATATCTTAAAGTTAAATGTCCCCCGTCTTCCCCGAGTTTGAGTATTTCCTTTCATTTTATTTCCCTCTTGACTTGTATTACTTCTGAAACTCTCCTTCAAGTTATTAACATTTCATTTTATTCTACATCCCCGGTGTCCCAGATTTTCTGGCTTGCAGTATAGTAGTGAACTTCATATTCTGGTAGCAAATACCATTTGATCCCAAACAAAACCTTGAAAGGTTGGCAGAACTGGTATTATTCCCATTTTGAAGATTAAAAAACTGACTGCCCGATAAGTTTAATATTTGCATAAGACCACATAGCTACTATGTGGCATCGTGGAGTCTTGTTACCCCAAACCTAACCACTTTCTTCCTTCTAGTTTTGCTTCCAGGAGTTTATCACCTAAAAGCCATAATTTAAAAAAGTTGGTAATTTTTGCAGCAGTGATTGGACTAGGACATGTGGAAGATGAAATTGATTGACAGAAAAATTTCTCAGATTTTGATGTTGAAAAACCGTATCTTTCCTTTCTTACCAGATGGGTAAAAGTTCTTCTTCTATTATAGTTTGAATGTCAAAGAAAGAAATTGTTTTCTGCTGAACAACTGGAAGATGGGTTTTTCTAGAAAACAAAAAAAGAATTGCCAGTAGAAGATTGAACGTTGGTATTTTTCTGGCACTCCAGTGTCATGGTACATTCTGTACTGGGACGGGCACCATCTGGCTGCATGACGAAAAGGAAATAGGATTTTGAAAATATTGTTAAAGGTTTGATTTCTTTAAAAAACAACTTTACTGAGATACAGTTCACATACCATTCAATGCATCCACTTAAACTGTCCAATTAAATGGTTCTTCGTGTATTCACAGGGCTGTGCAGCCATCATCAGAATCAATTTAGAACATTTTCATCACCCCCCAAAAGAAACTTGCACTCCTCAGGCATTAACCTTGAACCTCGAACCTCCTAACCCCCACCAGATCTACGCAAATATTAATC